GCTATCCATAGAAGGTAGGCGTCGAATACCTTTGACGGCTTCGTAGCATGTTCCGTTAGGCACCAAAACTACTTAAATCTTCAAATGGGTGTTAAGTTCGAAATAAGCTCCAAGCACTTATCTAGAAAAATCGTATAACTTGAAAAAGTCAACTAAGGTCATCTAAGGTAAATGACCTTGATTTGACCTTAACGTGACCTTAAAATGCAAAGAACAAACAGCATTTCATACCTTGGAGGTTAACAACCACAACAAGACTGAAAACGCGCCGATAATGTGCGCTGATAAGCGCCAAATCGATAACAGCCTGACATGGTCTGGTGAAACAGGTCACAGGTCAAATTTTTATTAAGGTCAAGGTCATGATATTTTAAGTGTGTGAGTAACATTGATCGATTCGAAGGTATAGAAAGTTTCGTCGTGATCCTCCACGTTTTGCTTGAGTTAGTATGCGAAAAGTCGAGGGACAGAAGTCTGTGCGACCCCCTCCCCTTTAAGTGCAAGGACTAACAAAGTGCAAAGGTTAAGCCCGAAATGCCTTTTTGGTGATTGGGCTAGACATGAACAAATATCTACTCTAAAACGATTGTAGTTCGTTCTACTTTTTTAACGCTTCCACGCCCACGATGCATTGCTAGCCGAAAACGCTTCAGTGCTATCCAGTCGTGGGGGAGGGGGCGGGGGAGGGATGGGGTCAAGCAGGAGAGTCAACCATGTTGTCAGGGATCATACACCCTAAGCCTAACCATTTAAAGGTGAAATAAAATTAGTTAAGGTAGCGGAGGATGCGATATAAATAAATTCGTGCTAGGATCGATAAAAACCCCACAGTGCGACGGTACGTAGCGCTCATTGTGTCAAGAGAAGAGCTAATGCAATGGTTAATCATCATGAGCGAAGGTATTACTGCACGGTATAATTTTCCGCCTGGCAATGGTGAGACTCGACGCTGCGATTCGTTTCGCGGTCGCGCTCGGTTCGCCGCAGGACAGTCCGGGACCGTGCCGTTCGGGCATTAGTCTGCGCGCTGCCGTACGTGTGTATTACCGGGCCGTTAACGGCGCTCGGTGCCGGCATTCCGCCGGTGCGAGAATGATCCCCCGCCCGCGGCCAACCGTTTGACCCCGCTGACCCGGCGCCGCTCGCTGCTGACCTGCGCCGGACCAACGACTTTGTTCGCGTCCTTCACCTGGGAGGAGAGAGTTGAGTCGACTCGCACGGTGATCGCATTAGATTAATTAATAATTTTGGCTTGGTGTGATTAATTATTCGCGCGAATTTAGGTCAGCAATGTGACAGGGTTGTCGATCATTGTAAAAGTGAAACAGTTCCTGAAATTCATAGGTATGAATATAAGGGCATCAATAGTGTACCAAGAAGTGAACTATCGTTGACTTGGTGTCCCTGCAGGGTTCTCAGAAATTTTACGCTGATTGCGTCTATCATCATAGCGCATTAGCAAGGAGTGTAACACGTTTTTCACGTCACGTCTCACCTCCACTTCAGCGAACACTGTATCTGGACACGGGTGGAAAGGCGACCGCCACTTAGCGACACATGTTGCGGTAACCCGCGCGGGGGACAGACTCGCATCTCGAAGCAGCACCCAGGCTAGGGTCACAGCGTGCTGACCTTCATCCCTGACTGGCGTCACCACACGCAAAAACTTTAATCGGACAGCGCCGCCACCGACCAAACCTCGTTCGATATTAACCCGGTATCACTGTTGTGAAACGTTGATACGATACAACCGTGATACGAGCGTGATGCGTGTGTGATACGAGTGTGATTCGACTGTGATACGGCAGCGACAGTGAGTGAGTTATGGTCCGGTGACCGACTCCCGGACCCTGCGCCGCTAATGTACGATCAGCGATGCGCGCGCGGCCGACGGCCGGACGCGGCCCGTGCGCGCCTCCGATCAGCCGCAGCCATTAACATCTAATTGCCGCAGATTAAAATGTAAACTGGGCAAAAAGCTGACCTGACGGGCGGGGTCAGGCCGGCAGGATGTGACCCAGCGCCGCGACAAAAACGCCGACACCGAGCTGCTATTACTGCCGCCGGTTGATGTATTTTTAGCTGAAGTTATTTTTCCGGTAAAGCCGTCTTTGTGAACGGCCCAGCTGGGAAGGCAGAAGGTGAATACGTTCCGTTATGGACGGTAGCGACAGGCGAGAGCATTCATAAGGGACTTGGGATCGAGGTGAATGGGTTTGCATCGTCATTGTTGATAATTTGTGACTGTGGTATGGTTTTTGGAAGCACGCGATAGTCACTTTTTTAGAAAGTTAACGACGCCATATAATCTAAAGCATGTTTCTCTAGCTTACGCTTTCGAGTTCTTTGCTTTCCCTGCAAAAATGCATCAAAGAAGACAGCTAAGCCAATCATGTTTCTTTTGATTAAATAATCTCTCAAAGTGGCCACAGCGCATTTGTCGTCCTTGATCGGTCAAGTAGCCACAGCCTAGTCTTCGACAAATAGCCACAATCCATCACCGATGACCAAAATCTGCGGGACCACCGTGCCTCGGACCGCGGCGTCACAGACGGCCCAAGAAATCTGGTCTGACTGGCAGCTAACTGTCGAGCGGGGCGGGGGCGGGGGCGGGCCGCCCGCTGCAGCTGACCGTGGGAGCGCCTTTGCCGGCCGTCGGGACCGCTGTCGATATGTGGTCCGATTGTGTGCCGGCCAGTAATCCCATGTGATGCCGGCCGTCGTCCGGTCGACCACGCCCGTCCGGACAGTGGACGGCACGGGGCGCGCGGCGGCCCACGCCACTCGAGAAGGCACCTTATCGATGGCCGTCGCCGGCGCACAATGCCCGACAGACCATTCTGGCCGGCGCGGATCATTCATATATGTGACGCGTTTGTTTAGATTATGTTAACTGCACAGCCGGTGACACATAAATCGAGGCGACAGCGGCGGGGCGCCGGGCGACGCGGCGCGGCGGGCGGCCACCCCAAGGAGGGCTCTATCCCATCACCGGCGTCTCTGTTCCGCCGCCCCCGCCGCCCCCGCCCCCGACCCGCCCCGCCCCCGCCGGCCCTCCAGCTGAGAGCACCGCCGCCCTCCCCGCGTCGACAGCCAACCACCCACTAATGCAAAAACGCTGTGAGCTGCTGAGAAATGATCCCTGACGGCTCCCGGGGCTCTGTGTCGTCCGAAATGGTCCGGACGGAGTAGACGGACGCTGTTCGGTGCAGGCGCAGCGGAGAGCCGCTGCACTTAGCGGCGTTTTATAATCAGCATTAAGCACAGACACTTGGATTACACGTTTTAAATTCTTGTTACTTTTGTTTCATCTCTTCCATAAAAAGAGGAATTGAGTATTACTAGGATCGGCAAGCGTATGCGAACCTACGTGATTGTGATGTACTGAAGTTTCTGTTTCTAATTGTAATGTTTTTCTTCTTGCAGTGTTCAAGAACATCGAACAAGAGCCGAACCAGCCTCCTCCGCTGGGTTTTTCTAAGGTGAGTCACAAACAACTGACACCCGTGGCGACGCTGCTCGGTGTTCCCTGCAGCAGCATCCGTGCCCGGCGACCTGTGTTGTGGGCTCTGTATCACGCGCTAGCGTTACACGCCCCATTGAAGTCCCCACCGGCCGGTGATGGGGCCTGTGCGGCATCAAAGTCTCCGCTGTGGCGGCGGCACGGTTCAAAGGCTGCCGGCCACATCCACCCCTGCCCGGTGTAGAAACCCGCCCGCCCCGGTAGGACGGAGGGATAAGGGTGGTCGCGCAGTGGCTCGGACGCGCCCCTAGCTACCTCATTATCGAGCCAGCGCTAACAAGATCATTTACCGGAGAAGACAGATCGCTTCTGGAGCCGGGGTTTCAGTATTGGCGGTCTGACTGGCCTGCCGAACTAGCTGATCTGTGTGGGTTTTGGTGGAACGGCGGCCAGCACAACAGGTCGAGGATTAATTTACAGACAGATGGCTGTGCGTGCGTAGGGGATTGTGGTTACAGATAGGATATGTGATAATATTCGGAGATATGCGTGTTTTTATTTTGCTGCTGCCTAATTGGTTTAAATGAGATATTCAGAAGAAATGCCTGTTAATCGAGTTGTCAGTGGTGCTGTGGGAACGATTTGCCGCGGAATGCTTCTGGGTGCTTTTTGTTTCTATTTGGGTTTTTTATGTTTCCAGGCAATGAATGGATTCATGATGCTAACAACGCAAACGGGGAAGCTGCTATACATATCAGACAACGCTGCCGAATACCTGGGACACTCAATGGTAAGTTCGTCGTCCGTCATATATACAACGACTGAAAGTAGCTCAAATGCATATGCAAAAAAAAAAACTATTAAAAATATGATATCAAACGTATCGAATGTTTATGATAAGTTTCATCACAGATAACAGTAGTACTACTTGTGGTTACATAATCGGCAATACAATGCTCTGAAACTCCTGTAAGTGAATATGATGCATGTGCAATTTTCAAAATACATGCTACATAGATTTGCGTCATGGTCCATTCTGCATATATCATTTAACCTTGCGTAAACCAATCGAATTTTATGAATGCATTTTATGAAACCATCTATGTCATTTTGTTCTGGCTGCATGGCTTGCCGTTCGTCTGAGTGCTCACTGCTCAGTGTCGAGGATTTCACAACTCATCGGAGTTCGTCCCGGCCAACGAACGCTCCATTCAACCTCGGGGCGTCACAAATTACCCGGTGACTTCACATCCCTCTGTCACAGCAGGCAGCAGCCGCGTCACAGATGTTCAAACACAATACGGAAGTCTGCCATTTTGTCATTTTAGTCTTCTCGTGAAGGTCGCCATTGTATAACATCCGCCGGAAGTGTGTCAAAGGTTAGCCGGGGAGTTCTGGCTAACCTTTGAACACTTCCGGCGGATGTTATACAATGGCGACCTTCACGAGAAGACTAAAATGACAAAATGGCAGACTTCCGTATTGTGTTTGAACATCTGTGACGCGGCTGCTGCCTGCTGTGACAGAGGGATTGAAGTCACCGGGTAATTTGTGACGCCCCGAGGTTGAATGGAGCGTTCGTTGGCCGGACGAACTCCGATGAGTTGTGAAATCCTCGACACTGAGCAGTGAGCACTCAGACGAACGGCAAGCCATGCAGCCAGAACAAAATGACATAGATGGTTTCATAAAATGCATTCATAAAATTCGATTGGTTTACGCAAGGTTAAATGATATATGCAGAATGGACCATGACGCAAATCTATGTAGCATGTATATTTTGAAAATTGCACATGCATCATATTCACTTACAGGAGTTTCAGAGCATTGTATTGCCGATTATGTAACCACAAGTAGTACTACTGTTATCTGTGATGAAACTTATCATAAACATTCGATACGTTTGATATCATATTTTTTAATAGTTTTTTTTTTTGCATATGCATTTGAGCTACTTTCAGTCGTTGTATATATGACGGACGACGAACTTACCATTGAGTGTCCCAGGTATTCGGCAGCGTTGTCTGATATGTATAGCAGCTTCCCCGTTTGCGTTGTTAGCATCATGAATCCATTCATTGCCTGGAAACATAAAAAACCCAAATAGAAACAAAAAGCACCCAGAAGCATTCCGCGGCAAATCGTTCCCACAGCACCACTGACAACTCGATTAACAGGCATTTCTTCTGAATATCTCATTTAAACCAATTAGGCAGCAGCAAAATAAAACACGCATAATCTCCGAATATTATCACATATCCTATCTGTAACCACAATCCCCTACGCACGCACAGCCATCTGTCTGTAAATTAATCCTCGACCTGTTGTGCTGGCCGCCGTTCCACCAAAACCCACACAGATCAGCTAGTTCGGCAGGCCAGTCAGACCGCCAATACTGAAACCCCGGCTCCAGAAGCGATCTGTCTTCTCCGGTAAATGATCTTGTTAGCGCTGGCTCGATAATGAGGTAGCTAGGGGCGCGTCCGAGCCACTGCGCGACCACCCTTATCCCTCCGTCCTACCGGGGCGGGCGGGTTTCTACACCGGGCAGGGGTGGATGTGGCCGGCAGCCTTTGAACCGTGCCGCCGCCACAGCGGAGACTTTGATGCCGCACAGGCCCCATCACCGGCCGGTGGGGACTTCAATGGGGCGTGTAACGCTAGCGCGTGATACAGAGCCCACAACACAGGTCGCCGGGCACGGATGCTGCTGCAGGGAACACCGAGCAGCGTCGCCACGGGTGTCAGTTGTTTGTGACTCACCTTAGAAAAACCCAGCGGAGGAGGCTGGTTCGGCTCTTGTTCGATGTTCTTGAACACTGCAAGAAGAAAAACATTACAATTAGAAACAGAAACTTCAGTACATCACAATCACGTAGGTTCGCATACGCTTGCCGATCCTAGTAATACTCAATTCCTCTTTTTATGGAAGAGATGAAACAAAAGTAACAAGAAATTTAAAACGTGTAATCCAAGTGTCTGTGCTTAATGCTGATTATAAAACGCCGCTAAGTGCAGCGGCTCTCCGCTGCGCCTGCACCGAACAGCGTCCGTCTACTCCGTCCGGACCATTTCGGACGACACAGAGCCCCGGGAGCCGTCAGGGATCATTTCTCAGCAGCTCACAGCGTTTTTGCATTAGTGGGTGGTTGGCTGTCGACGCGGGGAGGGCGGCGGTGCTCTCAGCTGGAGGGCCGGCGGGGGCGGGGGCGGGTCGGGGGGCGGGGGCGGCGGGGGCGGCGGAACAGAGACGCCGGTGATGGATAGAGCCCTCCTTGGGGTGGCCGCCCGCCGCGCCGCGTCGCCCGGCGCCCCGCCGCTGTCGCCTCGATTTATGTGTCACCGGCTGTGCAGTTAACATAATCTAAACAAACGCGTCACATATATGAATGATCCGCGCCGGCCAGAATGGTCTGTCGGGCATTGTGCGCCGGCGACGGCCATCGATAAGGTGCCTTCTCGAGTGGCGTGGGCCGCCGCGCGCCCCGTGCCGTCCACTGTCCGGACGGGCGTGGTCGACCGGACGACGGCCGGCATCACATGGGATTACTGGCCGGCACACAATCGGACCACATATCGACAGCGGTCCCGACGGCCGGCAAAGGCGCTCCCACGGTCAGCTGCAGCGGGCGGCCCGCCCCCGCCCCCGCCCCGCTCGACAGTTAGCTGCCAGTCAGACCAGATTTCTTGGGCCGTCTGTGACGCCGCGGTCCGAGGCACGGTGGTCCCGCAGATTTTGGTCATCGGTGATGGATTGTGGCTATTTGTCGAAGACTAGGCTGTGGCTACTTGACCGATCAAGGACGACAAATGCGCTGTGGCCACTTTGAGAGATTATTTTAATCAAAAGAAACATGATTGGCTTAGCTGTCTTCTTTGATGCATTTTTGCAGGGAAAGCAAAGAACTCGAAAGCGTAAGCTAGAGAAACATGCTTTAGATTATATGGCGTCGTTAACTTTCTAAAAAAGTGACTATCGCGTGCTTCCAAAAACCATACCACAGTCACAAATTATCAACAATGACGATGCAAACCCATTCACCTCGATCCCAAGTCCCTTATGAATGCTCTCGCCTGTCGCTACCGTCCATAACGGAACGTATTCACCTTCTGCCTTCCCAGCTGGGCCGTTCACAAAGACGGCTTTACCGGAAAAATAACTTCAGCTAAAAATACATCAACCGGCGGCAGTAATAGCAGCTCGGTGTCGGCGTTTTTGTCGCGGCGCTGGGTCACATCCTGCCGGCCTGACCCCGCCCGTCAGGTCAGCTTTTTGCCCAGTTTACATTTTAATCTGCGGCAATTAGATGTTAATGGCTGCGGCTGATCGGAGGCGCGCACGGGCCGCGTCCGGCCGTCGGCCGCGCGCGCATCGCTGATCGTACATTAGCGGCGCAGGGTCCGGGAGTCGGTCACCGGACCATAACTCACTCACTGTCGCTGCCGTATCACAGTCGAATCACACTCGTATCACACACGCATCACGCTCGTATCACGGTTGTATCGTATCAACGTTTCACAACAGTGATACCGGGTTAATATCGAACGAGGTTTGGTCGGTGGCGGCGCTGTCCGATTAAAGTTTTTGCGTGTGGTGACGCCAGTCAGGGATGAAGGTCAGCACGCTGTGACCCTAGCCTGGGTGCTGCTTCGAGATGCGAGTCTGTCCCCCGCGCGGGTTACCGCAACATGTGTCGCTAAGTGGCGGTCGCCTTTCCACCCGTGTCCAGATACAGTGTTCGCTGAAGTGGAGGTGAGACGTGACGTGAAAAACGTGTTACACTCCTTGCTAATGCGCTATGATGATAGACGCAATCAGCGTAAAATTTCTGAGAACCCTGCAGGGACACCAAGTCAACGATAGTTCACTTCTTGGTACACTATTGATGCCCTTATATTCATACCTATGAATTTCAGGAACTGTTTCACTTTTACAATGATCGACAACCCTGTCACATTGCTGACCTAAATTCGCGCGAATAATTAATCACACCAAGCCAAAATTATTAATTAATCTAATGCGATCACCGTGCGAGTCGACTCAACTCTCTCCTCCCAGGTGAAGGACGCGAACAAAGTCGTTGGTCCGGCGCAGGTCAGCAGCGAGCGGCGCCGGGTCAGCGGGGTCAAACGGTTGGCCGCGGGCGGGGGATCATTCTCGCACCGGCGGAATGCCGGCACCGAGCGCCGTTAACGGCCCGGTAATACACACGTACGGCAGCAGCGCAGACTAATGCCCGAACGGCACGGTCCCGGACTGTCCTGCGGCGAACCGAGCGCGACCGCGAAACGAATCGCAGCGTCGAGTCTCACCATTGCCAGGCGGAAAATTATACCGTGCAGTAATACCTTCGCTCATGATGATTAACCATTGCATTAGCTCTTCTCTTGACACAATGAGCGCTACGTACCGTCCACTGTGGGGTTTTTATCGATCCTAGCACGAATTTATTTATATCGCATCCTCCGCTACCTTAACTAATTTTATTTCACCTTTAAATGGTTAGGCTTAGGGTGTATGATCCCTGACAACATGGTTGACTCTCCTGCTTGACCCCATCCCTCCCCCGCCCCCTCCCCACGGACTTAGCACTGAAGCGTTTTCGGCTAGCAATGCATCGTGGGCGTGGAAGCGTTAAAAAAGTAGAACGAAACTACAATCGTTTTAGAAGTAGATATTTGTTCATGTCTAGCCCAATCACCAAAAAGGCATTTCGGGCTTAACCTTTGCACTTTGTTAGTCCTTGCACTTAAAGGGGGAGGGGGTCGCACAGACTTCTGTCCTCGACTTTTCGCATACTAACTCAAGCAAAACGTGGAGGATCACGACGAAACTTTCTATACCTTCGAATCGATCAATGTTACTCACACACTTAAAATATCATGACCTTGACCTTAATAAAAATTTGACCTGTGACCTGTTTCACCAGACCATGTCAGGCTGTTATCGATTTGGCGCTTATCAGCGCACATTATCGGCGCGTTTTCAGTCTTGTTGTGGTTGTTAACTCTCCAAGGTATGAAATGCTGTTTGTTCTTTGCATTTTAAGGTCACGTTAAGGTCAAATCAAGGTCATTTACCTTAGATGACCTTAGTTGACTTTTTCAAGTTATACGATTTTTCTAGATAAGTGCTTGGAGCTTATTTCGAACTTAACACCCATTTGAAGATTTAAGTAGTTTTGGTGCCTAACGGAACATGCTACGAAGCCGTCAAAGGTATTCGACGCCTACCTTCTATGGATAGCCGGCAAGACACCTACTGGTCGGGCCTGACCTGACCCGGCCTAGCATGAAAACATCATCCTTGATCAAAACTAGCTTGAAATTCGTGATTAGCACCCCAAAAACCTCCAACCTCACTTTACAAAGTTGCAGCAGTTTTCGATAGGGGAGAGTGGGGAAAGATGCCCAGGGTTTTACTATGTCAGATTTTATTCGAAAATGACGATCGGAAAGCACAAACTTGGAGTTTCAACGGAAGCCGACATCATTTTTCTCCAAAAATATCACACTTTCGTGCCTGAAATATGATAACTTTTTTTGCTATTAAGCATTTCCCTGAAGAAGTGAAAGGGGGCATCTTACCCCACAGGGTGGGAAAGACGCCCCCTGGCGTTGGGTAAGATGCCCCCTGCACTATAAGTGACATAAATGGGCACGTGAATCGCGTGAACGAATCAGCAGTCCCTTCGAGCCTGCAGTAGACACCAAACGTCATCGTAAGGGCCCTCAAAAGTAGTCGTAAGGGGCTTCAGAGGTCATCGTTAGGGCCATCATAGTCCAGCGCGGCCAAACAAGCCTCCGTGGTGGCGTTCGGAGACCACTGTGGGGCCCTTATAGGTCTTCATGATGCTTGAGGGCCCTCAAGCCCATCGTGGGGATCTCAGATGCCAGCACGGCCCGTGGAGCCAACGTGGGAGCCCTCAAAGGATGTCGTGAGGGGCCCTGGAGCCAATAATGGGGCCCACAGAGGCCGTCGCGAGGGCTCTCAGAGTCAGATGCCGCCCAAAAAGTCGCTGTATGGGCCGAGAGACCGGCATGGGGAGCACCCGACCGTACTGGACTCTCAATAGTCCCAGATCGGCTTTTGTCTCTAATCACAAGTATGTATTAAATGATTTGATGGGATGCTTGAGGGACAGCCTACGAATTTAGGGGGGCGTCTTTCCCCATCAGGACAGGGGGCATCTTACCCAGAGGTACCGAAGTAACATTAAATCAGTACAATTTGTTAGCCATAAAACTACACCCTGAAACAAACTGTTTGGGACACAGTACACGCATTTTAATGTATCACGACTATAGCAAGGGACGCAAAAATTATCTATCTTCTTTGATATTTACAATGTTTTGACAGCAAAATATTTTTTGAAAGCAGCAAATAAAAAACATGCAATCGCCAGCCAGCCGTTGCCCAACTGAGCTTCGCAAATTTTTGTGCAGTTAACAAGGCAGGCTTCCGCTTTACGCTAAGAACATTAATTTCCAGGTTCGATTCTTTGTTTCGCCGCTAGAGGGGGTGGGGCGTCTTTCCCACCCTGGGCATCTTACCCCACTCTCCCCTATATATCAAAGCTCTGTACTGAAGTTCAATAAGGTGAACATTGGCGGCGATAGCCAATAAAATGGACGCAGCGTTGCAAGGGTGTTGTTGTTTTGTTCAAAAATAACATTTAGCGATAGAAAAATAATGTCAACATGGTATCACCCCCTTCCTCCCTCCTCCCAACTCCTATACTGACCGGAAACCCCCAGGCGGTGTGCTGCGGTCGGGTAACCCGCCGCGGCGCGGCCCGGCGCGGCGTAAGAAACCACGCGGCACCGTCTGCTTTGACGTCTCATAGTGACTGGTTTAGGCAAATTTCGGCAAAAAATGAGAGCTGCCCCCGATGCAGAAATTATTGGAGAACATTTTGATATACATTTCCACGCGTAACACCGCGTAACAAACTTTGTAAGGCAATAGTTTGCTTGTCAACTCTATGAATCAAGAAGCATTTTAACATTTTTAACATTTCGGTCAAAAATTATACATTTGGATGAATTTTGGAAATTTTCGTGCATACCATCATCTTCCTTATAAGTCAAAGATAATGAAAACATGTCGCAACTATAACCTGCTGTTCAGGGAAACGAGTGAGAGGGCGTTTTATTGTAGTGTGCTTTTTCGCTGTATGCAGGTAGCACGACGCTGGTCAGGACGAAGCTACACTTTGAGAGGTTTTTTTAGGCATAAACAATCATTTTACAGACGATTTAAGGTGTGATTCGGATGCGCTGGACAATTCTACGTGGAATGAATAACAAAAAAGTGGAAATCGAAATACTTTAACTTGCCACTTAATGCGTGCTAGGATGGCATAAGTCCCCACGGTGCGTCGGCGCGTTAGTGCGGCGATAATTACAGTCCATCTCACGGAGCTCTCTCGGCCGACGCAGTCCGTCGTGCGTCACCGGCGGCACGCTGATCGGAGACCTCTGCCGCTGTCACCGCGACCTGACCCGGTCTCCCGTGTCCTGTCAGCGGGCCGGTGGAGCGTGGCGGCGATTTTGCGGTCGTCACCGGCGCTCTGGCCGTCATCGGCCGCCTTTAGTGTCGGCTCCGCACGGCTGGCGTCACCGGCGCCGTCACCGTCGACGGGTCGGAGTCACGTCACCCCTGATCGAGCGCTCATTGTCCGCGGGCGCCGCCGGACGGACGGACGATTCCGCACATCTCCGGGTGCACAGAGTTTCTCCGTCCGGTCACCAGGGAAAGAAGGCGGCGCGCGTAGCAGACAGGTTTCTACTGGATTGAGCAGTTTTTGGTGAAACGCACCCAAAGCTTCTTGTAGTCGGCGGGAGGTTTATGTGTTGGACAAACATTGTAAATGCCAAATGGTAAAATTGGGACATCCACGGAACTTTTGCTTCACTTTCTTCAATTCCGCTTAGCTTCAAGTTTTACGTTCTTGGCTAACATAATTTTTTAGTAAATAAAATCTCCTATCCCATTATACCTCGTTGGTTACCGTGAACGCTTACACAACTCTCAATTTATCCAACACAACTTTATCGAACATTCTTCCTAACTCTCGTCCATCTCTGTTTCTGTTGCACACTCGCCATCCGTGATGTATCGCTCACCGCCGGTTCCCGGCCGATCTATCGCCCGTCGCCGATTCGCCCGGGGGCAGTCGGCACATCGCCGCCGGTGGCGGAAAACCCCACCGTTCTCCGGAAAATTATCATACTACCCCGCAACCGGCCCGGCGCCGATAGATTTGAGCCGGTGAATACATGCATCATATTGCTGCATCCCGGATCCTGTCTGCCTGTGCCGACCACCGGGTGGTGACATAACGTCCTCCAATCCGCCGGCACTGTAAACTCCGTATCGCAAATGTTGGCATGGGGGCCATTGGCCGGCATCCGGGAGCAATGCAAAGCGCGCGCGGCAGGAGCGCCACTCGGGCAGGTGCACTCGGGCTGGCCGACCGTTTCGACGTTTTAGCCGGCAGTGCGACACCAGCTTTGCATGCTTTACCGGAGGCTGATGCATACAATGAGGTCGGCTGACAATGGTCCTTCTATGCGGTTCACTCAGATTTAATGCCAGAAATGCAGCCCAGGTATTTGTCTAGGCATTCACCGGTAGTGGGTGGGTACTTACATTGCACTTAGCAAGTACCATTCACTAGCATTTGCCTTTTAGGTATTTGATAATAAAGTGATGATTGATGGGATTTGTGGGATAAAAGTATAGCTGGAATGATATAAAAAATGAGGTTAACAGTAGAAAAAGGACCATGGTTAAACAGACTAAACCTGGAGAATTCACCGCCGTTGCTGACCCACAGAGCAACAAAGACGACAGTTGACTTAATCTTCCTATTTAGTTCCTACTCCATGAGCCGCGACCTCCGTCGTCCAACACACCGACCCACCAGCCGGTGACCAAGCTGGCCTTTCACCTAAGTCTGGTCCCAATCACTCTACCCGACATGTGCCGGGCAGGGGGCCGGTCACCGTCCATACATCTCAACCACCGCCGGCCGCGTGCCGCTCGAAAAACCCGGCTCGTCCGATTCTCCCACGGCCTCCCGGACCCGGCGGCGGGCGGGGCGGGACGGGACGTGGCTCCGGGCGCACTGCTCCGGCCGATGCGCGCCCAGATAGAGCACCGCCTCAGGCCGGCGGATCGCTATGTGAGATATGCACGTCGGGTTCGGTCGGCACGCTGGCATTGCAGTTCGGCAACGCACTCGCCCTCTCCGCAGTGCAGTGGGAGGTAGAGGAGGGTAGAACCTCGTCCGACCACAGTCGGGCTCAGGAGGTCAGACGGCCGAGGTGAACCACACTGCATGCAGGTGGCACGGGCCGAAACTCGACATACTTTATGCGCCATTCTGTCTGCTATACAGGGCGGTAACACAGTGATTTAACAACCCGTAGACATGCTCTACACCGTACAGCATCGCCGAATGGGTACATGAGGACGACCTAGCGATCATATCTGCTCTTTGGACAAAACTTGGCCAGTAGCGATTACTCTGGTGCATTGACAATCTTTGTCAATCGAAGGCGTGAGCTGAATGTGTAATGAGACCGAATCCGGTTTGTTCTACATATAAGGCCGTCGCGATGCTAATGGTATGGTCCGCGAACCGACTGAGAAGTTCGCAGAGTACAGAAGGGATCCGGTTCCGAAATTATCTGTAATGGCCAACAGTTGCGCTCCGGTTTGTGTAGCATAGAAACACGACGCTTTTTATAGCTTCTGCCAGTTCCAGCGCCAATCAGAGGTGTCAGAAATCCGATTTGGCTGTTTGAGAGGAACTCCAGGAATTGTTTGTGTTCAATAATACATCATCTCTTAGTACTTGTAGAACACCGATTTCTCAAGCGTCGTGGCGTGAACCTGTCTTTAATCACTCTCAAACACCTCGTCAAGATTGTGTTCCACGTTAACCCTTCCACATGCATTCCTAAGACAAAGGAGATCACCGAAACTCTCATGGTTGAGGCATTATCTGATCGGAGCATTGATTTAGTCGGCCCGATAAAAAGGTCTCACCTCTGAGGCCAGCCCAGGGCTATTACCCGGCTTCCCACGGACAATTCATAGTTCACGTGAGACCCTGATCTGGCCCGCAGACGCTAAGCCTGTCCGAGCCGCCTTATCAATACATCATGTCCGCCAGATAAAAAGCTACTGAGTTACTACATTATCACAAGGCCAGTCCGGAAGTAAGGGTTCTGACATTTGCCAGTCGGTGGGAAATGAAATATGCTGCGCCGTGCAGAAACAAAACCAGCGAGAACATTTTGTGACTTAATTAGCATTGAGTTAGGCACTGCAAGGAATAATCTGAACCAGTGCGATAGACTGGCATAATTAGGACATCTGCAAATTTGAGAACATTTATCGCTCTTAGAAAGAAATACTTCTTACAAATGAATCGTTAGAGAATTGGTCATGGAACTAAAATTTTTACCATTCATTGCTTCCGCTCACATATTTATAACTATAAGTTGCAGTTTCCTGTAGGTATCTCAGAATCATTGGCAGACACATTTTATAATGCAACCTTCTCAACCAGGCACAATGTTTCACACACATACAACCCTCCCTCCCACATACGCACATACCAACATTGCGTACTCATCCTATTGAAGTATAGCTGGTCTTGGCAAATACACACACAGACACACCTGACGTACTCACCCTGCTGGAAGTAGTTGGCCTTCCGCACGTACACGCACACCAGCGCCATCAGCTGCAGCTGCGACATGCGCTGTCGGGTGGTGGCCGGCAGTGGCAACAGGTCACGCAGGATCGCCACCTCGCTGTTGATGAGGTCGCGCCTCAACTTGCTGGCACCCTTTGTCGACTTGTAGCTGTGAAACAAGGGAGACGTTTTTAGGTCAACGGTAACGTCGAACTCGTCGTCGCCAACGTCAACCACCCATCATCAACGTCTCATCATCAACGTCAGCGTCAACGTCATCAACGTCAACGCAGAGGTCATCAACGTCATCATCATCATCATCAATATGACAGCGCGAACACTACCAAGAAACGTTGATAAAAATCCCTGCTGCTGGGATGACCGGTCGACAGGGGTTCACCGGTGGTACCCCAATCGGTAGACACATCGGCACTGGTCTGGCCAGTCCGGGGTTAGTTCTCACGGAACAAGGCAGACCTATTGATTGGACTGATTAGACCGGCCGTGGGATGTAAAAGTGACGCCGCGATTTTTGACGCGTTGACATACTTCTCTCGGTTGCTGATGAATCGCGCCCTGGTTCTGCCAAAACGGACACGCGCCTATTAGGAGTTTTGTGATTAAATGCTAAAATTTCATCGTTTCTTTTTAGTAGTGGAGAGTCTCATTTTACACAGATGAGCAATAACCGTGTCGTTATGTGAACCGGTTTGGCACGGTGCGTTGTCTCACACCGCGTACCAATGATGCTTCCACGGAATGACTGCAGCTCTCCAGCGCTCATTACTGTGCGGGAATTAGAGGCAGGCATCTTTGTCTTGCTGAACCATCAGCTTATCCATTCATACACGTGTTTCTGCACTTGTTGAACACCTTTCTGAAGGCAAGCGCCGTACCCCGGCGCCTGTACCCGGCGCGGCACCGGGTGTAGTCCAATGTAATCTGTCTAATACGACACATCAGTGACAGCCATACATCTGACAAGTGCAGCGTCCGATCGGACAGCGACAGACTGACACAGTGGTGGGACAATATACGAGACAGACGAGTCGATACCGGGACGCGCACAGTTGCGGATTAGGTCAGCCATCTGGTGGATGGGACCGACAGAGAGCTCAGAGCTCAATATGCGGGTGAAATATCCCAACTGACATGTGGTTGTAATAAATATCTTTTTGTCTATGCTACCTGCATCGCGACGGGGGGTTCCCCTTCCATTGCAATGCCAGATGCTAGCATAAGATCCCAAAGAATTCGCTGCTGCTTAAATCTGAAATGCAGGTTCAATGCAAACTACAGTCCGACTCCCCATGCCTGTCGGAGACATCTGGAAATTTCGAGCTCTGCATAGACGAAAGAAGAAAGGCCTTAACAGGATGAAAGGATACATCAGAAACACTTGGCATGTGGGCCGTGGGGCTTGTTTGCCCTTCAGCCCTAGCATGAACTTATTTTTACAAATTTGATGACACAGCTAATACACGTTAGGCGGCACGGGCGGACATCGATAGCAGCGCCTCTATCGGTCACTAGGGAAAGCTGGGCTGTAGGCGACGAAATACCGGCTGAGTTGTCACACGTTGAATAGGTTTATAGCCATCAGTCTTGTGAAAAGGTTGAACTTTTGCCTTTAATATTTCTACAGGCAATTTTAGAAGTGTCTTCACATGGATTACAAAACCGTTTAGATTATTGTATTCACTTCAAGCCTTCCCTATTGTTCTTGATGATGCGGGAACTATTTCTAATTAGTGTTTCTAGCTTAGTAAAAGAACATACTGTGCAAATGATGAAAAAAAGCATGAATGGAAGATTTTAAATGCAATTTTCTCTAACAATTAGTGGTAAATTCTCTACATATCAAGGAAAACGTGCATGCTAAATGATAATTTAAAGTTCTTGGGGCCAGTTGTTTTCTTCTTTTCTTACGTCGCCCCAATGGCCGCGAATACACTTGTGATAACGCCTATCGAACAGCTCAACAATTATTATTAAATCTGAAGATTTGAGAGCATTAAATGGTAGCTATGCCATGTAATGTTATAAATTCTGGTAGACATAAAAATACGGTAGATTTACTAAACTGCAACCCGTAGAAACCTCCAGGGAGTCGCATGGCATCACACCCTCCCTCAGCGCTCCCAGGCTCAGCACCGTTCTGTATGCTCATTACTCACCCAATGCTCTCTCCATTGCCGGTATTGCACGGTGACCTGTTCCAGGTCTCCTGGAAGCCGATGTCGGTGCTGGCCACCATGCCTCCTCCCTCGACTGTGAAGCACCGTGTCAGTGTCACTGCAGACCACGCAGGAACCACGGACCCGTGGCGCGGTCGATTACATCTACACAGGGCCTGACGCTACAGTGACGGAAATAACAATAGAATCGCCACGGAATCGCCACCATCAATGACGTTATACATGTCCTGAGTTGTGAGATACAACAATGTCTAATTATATGTTGTGTGTCCAGATTGAATAGAAGATATTTTGAGTTGAATAATTGGAGACAATGGATAGGATATTTAGTTAAAGGGTCGCTAATGTGCATGTAAAACGATAACATACAAGACATTGTACTAAATATCTTATAAAAGCGCTTAGTTCTTATCAAATTCCACAATAAAATTACATTCTTTCCTGAGCCAAAGATCGAAGATATGTGACTGTCAAAGCGATATCGAACGATTAAAGAAAAGTAAATCCAGCCACGAAATTAAAACATTAACAGTTAGCACATTCCAGGGATGTATTTACTTTCAGTTAAATGCATAACTAATACAATAGCACACGATATTGGGAGGTGATAAATGAACACATAACAAGCGTTAGTCGATGCAATGATATGCAACCAAAAAGACGTTAAAATGGGCTTAAGACAAGCTAAGTTAAACATGGTATTGGTGTTATCTAAACCAGATAATTCGCAAGGCCATAAATGCGCTCAATGACATCCATTTTCGAGTTCGACCTGTTTCAGAGAAAGTGCTGGTTTCCACGAAATATAGCAAAATTGCATCAGTCTATTTTGTTGTATCACCTGGCCATATGCCTGATTATCTGTAGATGTATAACCACAAAGCTACACGTCTGTTCTTTCAGAACGTAACAATGCAATACCAGCTGCATCCCATTCCCAACGTATTTTGTAGAACCCCCAAGACTCCAGAGAGCGTGTCCGGACAGTTAGTGCCCCCACCGTTGTCTTCATCACGCACGTTCAGGGTGGCTGAGACATCAGAGGGCAGTGTGAGAACCTCGCAGTGGGTCGTCACGCGCCCCACCGGCTGCTTAGTATTCCTCACGTACCGGGGTCACAACCCGCCGGCCACTTGATTCCGCCGCGACACCGGTAGAAGCGGACTCCCGGGAGCTCGCCGTAGCTCTCACACGGGAGGTCTGTACGGCAGGAGCCGGCAGGATGAAGGCTTAGAGTAGACATAACGGCCAGCAGTGTTTGTGGTCATCTGATAGTATCCCATAAGAGGGATAGTGGTGGTGATAAAGATAGTTTGAATACGTTAGACGTGAGCCGTCTTGAGGTGAAGGTAATCAGTTTTACGTTTCATGGGGCTATAACAAGAGTGCAGATTTGCGTAAACTGAGTGAATTGCCCTCATTTTCCCGCCCACCGACCATAATTTTTACGAGCCCACAACTTGCAGCGAAAATGTGAGCAATATTTCATTTTATTAATTGCTTCACTTCATTCTCGCGACGGATTCTATTTATCCACCCGATTCACTTGTTCTTTTCATCGCCACGACAACTGCAATAACGCGTGATAAGTGTTATCACTCGCGGGCACAGGAGGGCCATCAAAATCACTGCACTATGTGAAAACACATTCGTCTGAATGTTCCACGCGTCGGTCACACAAAAGAGGACCGTCAGGTTTAGGACGTCGCCGACCGGGCGGTCTAAGGCGGTGTGAACAATCTCACACATACTGACAGCGCAAAACGCCCGCATGCTCAGCAGTCCTGAGGCCAATTTTGCTGTGCGACAGTTTTCAACAGAGGCGAACAATGAGGACAGACAGAGCGCATTGTTTGCAGGACTGTATGACAGATAACAGTTCAACCAGTCAGTCTTTGTATGAACGGCAGTCCTCAAGGTCCGCTCTTTGCATTATTGTCATTGTATGCTTTTGTCTATGCGCAGGCGGGGCAGACGGACAGTCGTATAACTCCATGTTGAGCATGCACCGCGGAACTTGCAGTACGTTGCATTGTGCTCAAAATGATAGGAACATCTGTCATGCTCGCCAAATATTCCGGGATCTCCAAGCCGGTGAAAACTTGCAGCACTCATAACCTTCCCTCTGCGACCAGCGCGGCGGTTATGTCATCTGTCTTGCAGCATACGAATGCTCCGAACATTGCCAGCCGCAGTTCCTTGGGCTCAGCGCACCGCGGAACGGTACATCGGCATTGCCATTTGATGCGTATCAGTGCATTATCCTAGATGGAGGGTACGGACTACGGACTCCACTGCATTGGCCCGCATGGCGTCTGCGAGTGGAAAACTGCGCCGCTGCAGCGGAGACGACGGGGCAGTTTCAGCCGCCGCGGTCAGTTGTTCCAGCCTAGCAGAGGTCACCGACTTAGCTGCAAAGAGACATTATGCACTAGCAGAATGTCCAATGTCCATTCACAGACCGTCGAATGTCCATCGTTTGCTCTTTGGTAGTCTCAGTTATCGCAGACATTACCGTTCGCAATACGCAATCCGAACTCAGCGTGCATAGGTGCTCCAAATTTCGTTGCTTCGTTCGCCATTTGCGTTATTGTAAACTAAAATGTTTTCATCCTGCTGGCCTCAACAGCTGCAATACACGAGCCATTGAATGTCCATTCACTTGACTTACAAATACCAATTAATTACTGGCCAGCGTAGTTTGACAGATGGCTATCGCGCTCGGCGCGAACGGATGCCGTATCGCAGATGAATGGCCGTTTGGCACGACACCCGAGCCTTGACCCACTGTGACTGCAACTGGCCGCGTCTGACCTTGTCCGTGTGGGCGGCGTCGGTCGGCCGACACAGGCGCCCTATGCTGCCCCCTCGCACGGGGTCTCACGACGCCTGAGATCCCCGCAATGATAACAATGTTGCTGAGCCACAGACACAATCCCTGTCAGCTTGAAATGCCAGGTTTACTGCCGACGGTTGCAATTCGTGCTCACCTTTGATATGATAATCCATGGTTAAAGCTCCAGTTCGTCGTCACAAAATGTCACCTTCCCACGTCACTCCCGTGTTTCCACTCCACAATCCTCGTCCACTGTCCCGCACTGCGTCCACCGTCCACCAAAGTCCACCTCGCACTGTCCACCGCTGGACGGCGGTCCTCTCCCGACTGTCCAGCTCCGTGGTTTCAGAGGGCCCTCCGTACCTCAGATGTCACAGAGTCCACGCCGCCGCCACCAACGCCCACAGCCGTCCTAAACCGTCGAGTGACCAGCGACCACCAGTCGGCCCACGGGCCGGCAGCCGGACCCGACGGCCCGCTCACCGCTCATTGGTCCACGCCCGGCAGCGAGAGCGCTGATTGGTGGACGGCGCGCGACGGCCGAAAAAGAATGGAGCCGCCGTAGCGAGAGCGGCTATCCTCATGGGAAAAGGCGGACTGGGTCAGCCCAGTGGCGATGATCGAGTTTTGAGTCGAGCGGAATAATGAGCAGTCGGCCAGAATTGAGCCACGACGATAATTTGGGGCGAGAACGTACACCCAGTCGTGATTTATGGCACTGCGAGATGCATGAGGCAAGGGTTTCAGTGCAAATGTGCCCTGGTTAGTGGGTCATTGCAATGAGCCTATTGAAACAACGGTTTATTTATGGGTGATGAAGTAATTATTTGAGGCATGGTCTCTTTTTATGTGGGATAAATTCAGTGCTCACTTTCAACCTTACCATGATAACCGCGCGATCATTTTATCCTATAGGTATGCCTCCCATATCAATCTCTAATTATTACCTTTGGTATGATATCTGGTATTTTTGGTATTTCAGATGTCCACAAAAGCAAGCAGCACGGTAATCCTCTAGCAAGATTGCAATCAGCCCATGCGAGCTAAAACTGCCTTGTCCGCTTCCAAACCGATCCACAGGTCAGCCCAGTTCGAGCCGAACCGGCACTCGCTATTGAAAGCAGGTACTGAATAGCTTACGTCTTGTATCAGTAAGGTACCTGCATCTACAAAAGCAAAATTCTGACTGATATAAGGTATGTCTTGCTGTGTGACAGCGCAAAAACATATCCGCCTATAAGCGAAGGGTATAAGCGAAGGGTTCATTTCAAGACGTTTGATAATATAGCAGCGGGACTCAGCGACTGCCCAACACATGACCACCAAACTTTTGCAATTTGCTCATGTCCTACTATCGGCATCACAACGATACTTTGCAATCTTAATGTTCTCATGTGTCTGCACTATAACACTGAGGAAAAGAAGTTGTCAAAATCTTGTCCGAATTCAAATCCTTTTTTCATGTGTTTCAGGGAGTCCACGAAACATATGATTTTGCGTAGAACACTCGCTAAACTCTAAAAGAATACTCATCTCGGAGCGATTCTGATGGTAACTCGGACACATTTAACCCTCGCCAGCCTAGCAACTTTCAACAACAACAATTTTTCGCAAATAACGTAAAAATGCCCGCACGTAGCATCGCTAAAATTGGCATAAGCTATGGGACATCATTCTGACACATTTCCTTATATTTCAAGTCACAGTCACTTCAGGTCAAATCACCAGATCACAAAGCTGGTTCACAGTCGGTGCAAAATTGGAATGATGTAGCGGCATTACCTAGAATAACTATCAGCCAAGTAACCAAGTCTTACACAGCGTAAAAGCGGGAGCATACAGCGCCATAAAGTTTAGCACACTCTATTTGGCATCTATTTGACACATGTCCTGCAAATTTCAAATCGCAGTGACCTCAGGAAAGGTCACTAGGAAAAAATGGGTACAACGTCATTAATAACACTTAAATGATCTTTATTTTGTTCTCATTCCATTTTTTTTTAGCTGATTAAAGTAACAAAAACTTGCTATTGTTGTTAGCTCATTGAATGAGATATTATTCTGGTTTTGAAATTTCGTCAACTTCAGGTCATCTAGAGGTCATGTGTATCGCAACACTCAGAATAAGTATATTTTATGTTCAAACTTCAACCAAATGGTTCTAATTGTAAAAATATTGGAACTTTTCACTCCATTTCATCGTTTTTGTGCCACAATTCCAACATATACCAACACAAGACTAATTTTGTGTTTCTTTGGTGCAAGAACGCTAAGGCCGGGTCGACTGAGGTCAAATGAGTCAGACAACGTTTTTGCTGATAACCTGGCACACATGAAAGATAGAGCTTCAAAAAGGATATCATTGTACTCCTCTTAATCAACCGAATCGAATGATATGCAAAGTGAAGCATTTGTATGAATTAAATAACTTAACTATTAATCTAGATGAACTTTAACGAACTTTTAAAGTTCCCTCAATTAAGTAAAATAATAAAGCATTCGAAGCGCGTTGGCGTGCTGAGATCATTGGTGCTTTTTGCTTGATGCTTTAAAAAAGCAAAAGTTAAAAGCAACAAAAATTGACCAGTTTTAGCAAAAATTTTGCCTTTTTAACCTTTCTTCACAAGCTCCCCGAAATATTGAACCAACTATCCATCAAATTTGTACAGGGTGAAATTTTCCGCAAGTCTACCTACCCTGCAAATTTCGTGTTTTTAAGTGCAGTAGGAGCCAATTGCGAGGGAGGGAGGGGGTCATACCTTGCGTCCCAAAACATTTATTCATCAAACATTTCAACATCAAAAGTTATATCAAACATTTATTCCGCTTTTTTTCTCATTGTTAAAGTGTTGATCTCAAGACGCAGGTCAAGAAGTAAGTTTTTCATTTTAGGGGTGAACAAAACAGGTTTTGGAAACTCGGTGTTAGCCATTTGGAGAACTAATGTTTGTGCGTCTTTTGACGTCTTTGATTTGCATTTTGCTTGTACGGGGACCCGCAGTTGCTACTGTACAGCGACCCTGAGTAGATTGTCCTAGCACCCTCACAGGGAACAACGATAAGCTGTCAGAGGGCATGCACAGAAAACCTCAGCTGCTCTTGTACAGGGACCGGCAGTCGATATCAATGTTGTCGGTTGTTACTGGACAGGACAGACAGCTATAGTTGGGGTTCGTGTACAGTAGCAACTGCGGGTCCCCGTACGCTCGATTTTTGGCGATGTTTCGAACATGCACCTTTTTGTGACGAGAAATGTCGTGTAGATGGGTCAGTAAAATGGGTATACCTAAAAATGATTTTTTATCATATTGCATGCAACTTTAACAACAATCGTCAGATTGATGTAAAGAAAGGTACATATTCCACGTTTCAGCCACGTTTGCTAGCTTAAACGGTTTATGACTAATTCAAGGACAAACAGAAGGGACCGGATCCGACTCCCCTAGGTGGTTGCTGGTTAAAACACGAGGTGCACGTCTCGTTGCCTATTTGAAATCATCGTTACTATTCATAAAAATATAATTACACTATTAAGTACTATTTTAGTAAGTAATCGACCAATAAAAGCAAATAAAGGAGCCGAAAACCGTCCACGAATACAATTCAGTCAGCTACAACTATGCTATCGAAAATTTCGAGCATTTAGATACCGTGAAGAAGACCACAATCACAGGGAATCATAGCAAGGATCCAGATAGCAAACGTTGCGTCAAACATTTTTTTATCCGCTCATCATAATCATGATTTAACGGCCTCCTCAGATACAGGAACTATTGAAAAATTTTACTTTCTGCGCCAATAAACAGTTGTTAATGAAGTTCATGTAACAATATTCCACCTATTCCATTGAATATTTCCTGTGGTCACTCTTCAAGTCTCAAAGATGTAGCAGAACAATTTGCATATACAGCTGTATGCTGCTCCAATTTGGGTTTCATGTGGCTGCATATACAGGTGTCATAAAATTTGCATAAGTCACCGAGAGCAAACCCGGATTTCGTAAGCATCAAGGTTTTATGGCCACTATTTATGATAAGGTGACCAGACATTGCACGCATGATGGAGTGAAGGATTCCTTTCCTCAAAAGGGAATGTTGCCCCCGTTTATGTCAGCACAACATAAAGCATAAGTTTTATGGCAGAGCGTCTGTTTACAGTACGTGTTTGAAACGAGCCAAACTGACAATGGGCTTGGAAAAACGCGGCGTCTGCGATATTTTAACGTTGCGTTATTAATAAAATGGTCAAAGAGTAAAATAAAGAAAAACTTTCATTGCTAAAGCATTTGCATGTATCAATCGACAATTCTAATTCCTTTTTTCACCAGAAGAAAGCAGTTACGTCGTTCACCATTCCCGTCTGAGCCCGCACCTATACTCAGTGCTCGGTGGTCGGCGCGAGGGGTGCGCCGGGCATGGAGTGTTTGACCCCCCCCCCCCCGTCTAACTCGGCTGCTAGGCCACGTAGCGACACGCGGCAGGCAACATTTGAAAAAAAAGAGTAAAAAATAATGAGGCTTTGACCAAAAATTAACCGTAAACTTTCTTCTTAGGACAAATACTCTAAACGGAATTTAGGTTGTAATGTTTTTACCGAAAGTGTTTGCTAACAATAACTTACAACTCAAAAGTGTCACGACACTTGTTTTGCCGGCACCGTGATCCTCTCATCGAGACGCGTCGAATTTGAACTTAAAAGGTCATTTACATTACATTTCTATGTACATTTCTATGTGTTCACAGAGGTCTTGACGCGAATCGATTATTAGCAGCGGTAAGCAGCGTAATGCAAAGACGTAATCGTCCGGCGCCGGCAGCGAGAATCGGCCGGCACCGGATTCTGCGCCCCCGCACTGGCGGGATTTTTGACTGAACACCCATCACAAAAAAAAAATGTGGACCGATTTACTTATTGCTTTGACGGCAAGATGCGCTATTAAATGTTAGGCACGCACTAGCAATTGACGTTCACAGAATGATTACGGCATTAGATATTTGCGAAAAACAGGAGGGGTGGGCGAAATTCGTCCCCTCCCCTTTCCACTGCGCGTGGTAATGAAACTACCAGCTTGTTTACATTTTCAAAGCTGTTTGAATGAAATTAGAATACGACATCAATGAGCACAATTAATGAATCCCGAAAAAGGCGAGGACACTATAAAAGTGAACTGCTGATTATGTAAGGACATCTTTGTGTTATGAGGTTATCGGTGGAGCCAACAAACAAATTTCATTTATCGCAGCTCCAACAAATATTTATTTGTTGGCTCCACCGATAACCTCATAACACAAATATAAGAGTTTAATTAAATACATATCTTTAATTCGCACCCCTGTACGAACGAGTGTGACGCGGGGTAACCATTCTAATGACAGAACTATCAAACTATGGCAGTATAGAGAGGTCATTGCATTCGGCAGTCATTAAAATCACAACACAAAACTTCCTTTTGGAGCTAAGAGGCTTTTCTCTCAGAAAAAAAAACTTTTTCAGTGCTTAGGACCATCTGTTTCATCGAAGTTGATTATTGACGTGTAATGTAAGAAATTACTGAATTTAGGTAATATTCTCTTTTGAAAAACAACAGTCTTTTATTTGCCTTACATCTTGCAGTAATTTCGGTAATAGCCCACCATGGTCTGTAGCACAGAGTCCACTCGCCAGAGCTCTGAGACTACCGATGTTTGCTGGGAGGAGTGGCCTGTTAGTGTCCATCGCGGGTGCACAGAACTTTCGCCACTAAATTCTGCCGTCTGCCGCGAGTTTAACGATCAGGCGGGACGAGGTCGGAGCGGGCACACTCGGCTGCTCTGCCGACTGGCGTAGAAACTGATGATCGATGCAGGCAAGAAGCAATCGATAAGGACCCTAAAATCTAATGACAATTGTTTGAGGAAATATGCATTGATAAAGTGACTACCGATTCGATGTGTGATTTATCTTTTGCCAGTCAAGAGTCGTTACCCCTAATTCACAACTTAGCTTCTATGATCACCAATTTACAAAGACAGACCACAGACATTAGCATGCACTGCAATGCATTCAACAGCTACTCCAGCTTACCTTTTACGGCTTTCCTGGCGACTTTCAGCGCATTTCAACCACTCCATTTCAAGTCGCCGTTCTTGCTGCGTAGTCTCACAAAGAAACCGCGAACACTCGCACGCAGGCACGAACAAAACCGCCTTTGAACTCTCGCGCACCCCTTGACTTCCCCTATCGTACAGAGTAAACCCTTCGAGACCCATGTCTCTCCCCAATGTCCCGTATCCAACTGACTGCACTGCCGTACGCTAAGCGAGGCGATCAGCCCCGAACCGCTCGCCAAATCCGGGGTCCGGGATCCGGGGACAACCCCTGCTCGGCTTCCGGGCTTCAAGGCTGCCACAGTTCAGCAGGCCAGGCGCGTATCCTGGAGCTTCATTATGCAACGGGTGCAGTCTCATGAACGGCCGGCGAGCAGCCGGGAGACGGGAGAGCGTCAGGGCCGTCTCAGCGGACCGGCTCAGAGTGGGTCACGCCCTGACCGGGGTGAGCGCCGCACTTACAGATGGAGGGACGGATGGATGGAAGGATGGAAGGATGGAAGGATGGAAGGATGGATGGATGGATGGATGTACGGATGGACGGATAAACGGATAGACGGACGGACGAACGGACGGACGGACGGACGGACGGACGGACGGACGGACGGACGGACGGACGGACGGACGGACGGACGGACGGACGGACGGACGGACGAACATAAGGATAAATGGGAATGGATGAACAGCGACGGATGGATAGACAAATGCAAGGATAAATATATACGGACGAAGATAGACGGATACACGGACGGATGGGTGACTGGATGAACGGATAAATGGACAATCCTTGTTATACCAAGAGATACCTCATGTAATTGGGAATTAGGGGATCTGTGAACATTGGGCATTGCACAGACGTAATAAAAACAACAACGAGAAGAAACAGTCATTGAACTCGTGAATGTCCCATAATTTGATTTTTTATTGTCACGGGTGGATGGTAGGACTAATGTGTAGAGAAACCCGTATGGAAAGATCCACTATCAGACCTCAGCGAGACGTTATATTTGCCGACATAATCCTAAGCGAGATTTACCATCTGATCAATGCCAGAGATCCAACGGTTACCATTTGACCACAGCGCAGAACGATGTCGTGGGTAGTATGCCAATGGAGCATTTTACGATCCATTAATACATGCTTAACACTTCTCGAGTTTGATGTATGAGTGGAACTGTCAACATGCATGCATCCGTAAGAAGAAATAAGATATGCCTGCTTATATTTTTGACGTGGCTTTTCATTTCATTTCATTTTACAGCAAAACAAGCGTCGTGAATAGACAATATTATTTTGGGTCAATCAAATAATTATCAGCACAAATACGTCAAAGATTTTGTGCTTACGGAAAACATGTTTGTTCAAAGGGCATGTCCTTATTATAGGACTAAATAATAAAAAGTAAACATTTATTAAAACCACGACAATTCATTTCCACGCTTCTGGTTCTTCGTTACCATTCTGGGTTAGATATTATAGGGCAGTTGAGGATATCCGAGTTTATTAACATCGACCGGCATGCAACGTGCTGCTGATTGAACCACAGTTTTTGTACATGAGGCCCCAACACCGGCCACTACGTTCTTAATTAACTCACGTTTGCACATTATCTAGCTTAGTGAATAAAACATGAACAAAAAGTAGCAACGCTTCACTAACGAGCCCGTATCACAAGGCACGGAAGTAAATCCTGGAAAAGGGTGAACCAAAAGTTCATGTGACGTCACATTCACCTACCCTATCCAGATGCTTATATGACTCGTAAACAGTACTTGCTTACCATGCTTCACTTTTATGGATTGTGCTATTTACTTTGCTATGCGTTTTTTTTTTTTGTTACCCAATCATGTCCACGCTGTACATGATAGTCGGCAGACACAATCCCGAAGCGCTTATGGTCTTCTCTAACGTCTCTCATGAGCGAAATTCACCGCACCACCTGCCTGTACCTAGATCCGGCCATGGAGGCCAAGAGGAGACAGGCCACGAAGGCCGAGAGGGCAGACACGGATGTGACAGATCCGTGTCTCGAAACTCTGAAGAGTGCTGGCGATCAGTGACAGGACATGCCGGACCGCCACTGCACGTGCCGGAGACGGACACAGGTGAAGTTGTTTAGCAAGTTTAAGCACTCCGAAATCAACAAGCCAGCACTCTTCAGAGTGCTGGCTTGTTGATTTCGGCTTGGCTTGTTGAGTCTCTTGCATAACGCCAAGTGTACTACACAGTCGCTTACGCGATACGTCTATGCAATATCGATGTGTAAGTCAAGTAAAGCAACAACTGCTTACCAGTCCCACATGCAGCCTGTCACTGTCGGAAAGTCCCCGCGCGTGCCTGGCGGCGTGAATTTCGACACCTGGCCGGACAGGTCGGTGGCTCGTCGGTGTGAAATTCGGCGACGGCCCCGTCGTTTCAGTCGTGCGTCGACTCGGCCCGTTAGCGGCTCCAGTCAGCCAGCACCGGTCAGGAAGCTGATCATGACAAGAGCACCGGTGCAACACTCGACGTTGCAGCCAGGACAGGCAGCCGCGCGTCGGTCGGTGTCGCTTCCGCCCGCCGGTCGGCACAAAATGCAACGTTGCAGGTCAGCCGGTGGTGCGGAAAGGCTGCAGCGCGAGCGGTGTGAGCGCCGCACTGTCGCCAATTTCACGGCCCGGGGAAACTGCCGGAAGTCGTGCGTGAAGCCAGCGGTCTCTCCAGTGGCCCGACGCGTTTCACCGGAGGCGTCCGGGCCGCCCCCACTCCGGGCAAATGACCCCCGGGTGTGACTGCGGACGTCTTCGGTCAAGTGGAAGATATCCGATACCGGTGTCATCGAAACCTAGTAGATACTCCCGGTTTCATCGTCCCGGTGGATCAGTAAAGGTCGCACCCTCGGCTCAGGTAAATGAACCGCGGGGAGCGGACAGTCACCCTCGGTGAGCACAGACATCCGATACCAAGTGTCATTCACACCAACCTCGTATCCATTATCGTTATGGAAAAGGTCATCACATTATCTGCACTCTGCAGTCGGGCCATGGTGAGCAGTATCTGATGGCCATGCAAAATTCGAAGAAAAGAACAAGCAAGCCATTCATCAAATTCACTGCCGAAGTCTCAACACATCTTTTCATAGCTTCCACTGAGTGGGCTTAAGAAGTTTGCAAAACGTACTTCGCACTTGCAAATATCCGAACGTGAATCTCACAAAGAAACTACGAAAGCAGCATGATGACTAGAGTGGCCACCCCTAATGGGAGTATAGCAAAAATCATCGAACCCTTTCTGTTCCCCCATATACCGGAAGACCGTGCCGCGGTGTCCCCAGCCCGGCACCCCGAAACGTTTCTGTCATCGTCGGTAATGGCTCCCGCGGACCATCCGGGACGGTGACGATGCGTGTGCAGTGTGCACTGTGCAGTCCTGGTGCGGTGCACCGCCACCCCGTCCTGCAGGAGGGGGACTGGTGAGCGGCATCCAGGTGTCAAGACTCGAGTCCTTCTAGATCAGTCCAATTGACAATTTATTCAGGACATTCCACTGGAACATTAGGCTATTACGTCCTAGTCCTTATTCGGTTAATGCGAACTAACCATTTAGCTCAGTCAGAATAGAGTTCTGCTTATCCAAGACTGAGCAGTGTGTCCTACATGCTAATGCCGGCCCCACCATTTATACCCCACCATGCTAGCCCACTCGACCGAAACAAAGCGATCCGTGCTCGATCCGTTCAGTCAGAGGCAGAGCCCCTCCGTCCTCCATGGCCGAATTATAATGGTTCAACCAGAGCCCATTTTGCCAGACTAGACTCTAATTTGAGCTCGACTCCCGCTTGGCGTCGGGTGCGAATCGTGCGTCGTCGACGACCAGTGTCACCACGACCTGACCACGGAACAACTGCCACCGCACCGCCGAACAGGAGATGGTATCGGCGGTCACCGGACACCGTCCGCGACCGGCGGCGCTGACCGAGACCTGAACACGCCGGGCCGAGCGCGGTGACAAGTTTTTGAACTCCCCAGTGTGCTCGCAGTTGTCGCAGAGCCGGCACATTAAAACAGCGTGCCGTTTCGGGGAGTCTGATGAGTGAAAAGACTTGTGGGTGCACTTTAGAGATGAGTGCGAGAATAAATGCATGAAAGTGATCAACTTGTAAACAAAAAGCCAGTAGCGAGTGTTTGATGCAAATGCGACAATCGTTCATGTTCAGTTTCGTTCATCAATCCATATCTAAGTCTGTGAATTTTGGGCTCTTTTGTTTGACTGCCGCCGACATGCTGAGCGTGGCTAGATTAATGCTAGTGCCCAAATCGTCGATGACGATTTGGGCCCCCTTTCCATTCGAAGGCTGAATGTTGCTGGATGTTCAAAGGACGCATGATCTGCGCAGTCCATTCCGCTCGATATGAAGACAGCGGATCAGAAATGACACTGATTTATGATACCACAACTGGAGTCCGTCTCGGCGATGGTCGAACCAGTCATAGCTGCATGAGTTGGGATCCTTAGCTCTGGCAAACAGCTCAATCACACATAACTACTTCTTATGATAAGCCTTCAGCGTCGCATGCAAATGCCGACATCCCAACTAAAAAGCTGCAGCAGCCTGCCTCACAGGCTCAGAGCTGCGGGTGGCACAGTCGACATACCACGAGCATATGTACGACCAGGGCACCTGTGTTTGTCTGTGCCCGTTCTCTCCGGTCGCTCCTGTGCTGCGCGGCCGTTGGACCCCCGTCCCCTCGACTCTTTACGACGTCGGACAGGCCGTAACAGCCCATCAAAACGCCGTCAAAGCGGACCTCTCCTGTGTCATACCAGGCCGCGACTGCCGGTCCCACCCTGATCCGGTCGCCGCCATAAACTGTGCTCTGCAACAAAAGCGCGGCCCTCAGGAGCGCCCGACGTCCTCGGCGCAGCGGTGACGTTCGGTGGCGCACCGGAGGCGCCGGGTGGCGCGGAGAGGCGGCCGTTGCTCTGAGTTGCGAGGACAGTGAGACACCCACAGCGCGCACCCCCGCGGCGTCCCTGTCCGCCACCGACGGGCCGCCGACAGGGGGCGGTCTGTGGGATCGACCAGCTGTGCACCAGTGAGCTCACTCAGCTCTCACTGAGCTCACAGAGCTCACACAGCTCTCTCAGTTTACAGGGCTCACCCAGTTCACAAATATAGCCCAGCCAGCCTGCTCACCGAGACATCCACCCCACAGAGCTCACCCAGCCCGCCCAGCTTACATCGAGTACAGTCTGCTCACCAATTACATCCGTGTGGTTCAGCTTGAAAAGTTGACCGAGCTCACTGCAAAGAGAGAATCAACCATAAAACGGGCAGATATTTTAAATGCAATGATGGCAACAGGCTATCCATTGGAAGAGCTTTCGATATACATATTAATACCTGAGGACATGACATCTAAATAAAAACGTTTTTTTATTACTTGAATTGTATTTCAAATGATATCGCTGATTGCATCAGCATTCATTGACGCCGGTTTTCGTGCCTCTCTCACGTGTTTACTAATGAGCAATGAGCATTAGTATTGTAAGTGGCAACTAACTTTGGTTTGTGAATCGCATCAGTCGTTCCGAATCGCACGAGAAGCGCACGTGCTAGTCACTTGTGCATCCATTCAAGGTTAATGAATCCGCCAGCCTCAGCAAAGTGGGAAAACTTCGCGATTGAAAGGAGCTATTTCGTAAAAATAGCTGTCTCGGTTAGCTACAGTGACTTTTTTCTGCCGTTACATTGCCACTACAGGAAACGAGTAATTCAATTCGTGAGCTGAGATTCTAAGCTTTAACCGTAACAGCCGATCGTGATTGGCGTCTTTCAATGGACCAGAAAGCATTAGCGGTCTGCAAAAAATCAGATAATGACCTCTTACAAAAAGTGTTGGGAATACATGATGTTAACACGGCAATAAAATCGTCTTATAATGTTAGAAAATCATTGTCATATCATCTTTCTCGTTGGTTTGAAAGCGATGGACTGACAAAAAGACAAGCTTGCCTCGCTGTAAGACAGCCCCATTCTCATAACATAAAGCTAAAATATGAATCGCCCTGACAAATAACAGCAATGTGTAGCATAATCTGCCGAGACTCCATAAGATAAGCATGCATGAGCACATGATAATTCGGCGGTATCCCGTTACCATTTCTCACGTAACCACTTCTCCGGACACTTGTAGGATGGAGGCAGCGATGTGAGGTCTGCCTCCACTCCAGAGACCTTAATTATCACCTATCTGGGCCACCTCCCGTGGTGCGATACTCCGGCCATCCAGCCAGCTGTATTTTCTCTCGTGTGGGATGGATCATTACCAGCTGAGACGGTGTAACCACGCTTTACTGGCTATTCGGGCGCCGTTTTAGGGCTGGATTGGGAGGTCGTAGTGACCACGACCTGGCGCGCGCCACGAGGCTCGCATGATCCGCTCCAGATGCGATCCAATCATCCATATGAGATATGTCCGCGCACAGTTTCGCCATCAGTCGGGAAAACCGAATCAATTTTCAGATGGCTATCGGGTTCGACTATCAAAGCATGCAACTGGTGTGAACATAACGAGTAGATATTTGCATCTAGATTTTACATTTGCATGGACTAGTGACCGGAAACAGTATGCAATTATTGGCCGTTGCAATTAATGGTTCCACGAAATACCTACACGTAAGACCACGAATGAATCATGGATCTACATTCTACACTTCGGAGCTAAATTCAAGGCTGACGAATGACGACACAGAGAGCCGGGCATAGTTAGTTAGAAGCAATCTGTGCTAAAGCAATCTGTGCTAGCACGTCAAAGTAGAGTGCTTTCACAGGAGGATTTTGCTGTTAAATAAGCACTAGGTATATAAGTTTTTGTGACTTGGTCCTGTAGTGAATGACAGTTATCAATGATCCTAGCCTGCTTTGCAGTTCCCCGACTCCAAATCCTAAATAAAACGATGCTTGTTCAATTGCTATAAAATTTAATATTAATTTGCATGTAATAAGATGGCGAAGTACTAAAATGAGCAGCATTATTGAATATCGTAGAAGAATAACCTTATGCTCACTATCTTTAAACAATCCAAAAATTAGCCTAAAATCAATGAATATATTTCGGAAACGTTCCTTCTTCAGTTCAAAAGATAACTATACAAGCCACAGAAATGTACAAATAATTGAACGTCACAAAAGCGCCGAATTCACTGATCCCACCAACGAATATTAGTCACATTCTCGTGCCATATAAGTAGAACGGCCTCTTTTAATCAACGCAAGACTAAAATAACAGGTATACATAAGGTAGCGTAACCAAATACAACTGTATGAGATCACTTGTGACCCAACGAATAACTATGCTAGTCATCTTAGAAACACACAATATAATTACAACTAACATGCAAGGTGCACACAACCAACTACTCAATAGATCGATTCAATATCGAGTCGTCAGTAGATCGAGTCGACAAACCATTCAAATATCCATTCCAAATCATTCAATCAAACGTTTTATCATACAATCAAGCAGTCATCCAATCAAACAAACAACGATTTTTATCATCCAATCAAGCAACCCTTCAACCATTAAATCAATCAGACCCACAGTCGTCCAATCAATCATCTATCAATCAACCATTCAATATTCCATTTAATCATACATATAATCAACCATTCAATGATTCATTCAAACATCGGCATTTAATAAAACATCTAACTAAGCATCTCAAAAGCCAAAAGATCTAACAGTCATGAGGCTATCCCAACATCTATCACGTCTCAGTCTGACAGTTCACACTAATCACAGAACTGCCCAAGATGCGATGTTGGTGTTTAGGGCTGGTCGGTATGTCCTTATCCATAGCGACTCTGCTATTTTTCTGTCTCTGCTGGTGTTGCATGTCTGTAGGATCTTGTTGATCATGTTGCGTGCCACAGTTCCGGAGTGGTATACCAACTTACCTGCACGCTGTGCAACCGGAGCTACATCGGTGAAACCGGACGTCACATACGACTTCGCTACAATGAACATCTACGGGACGCGAAGAACCACCGTATGGACTCACCGTGGGGCGACCACTTCAGAGATGACCACCCTCGATGTCGCCCAGAGCCCCAACACATCGCGGCCAAGATCCTACAGACATGCAACACCAGCAGAGACAGAAAAATAGCAGAGTCGCTATGGATAAGAACATACCGACCAGCCCTAAACACCAACATCGCATCTTGGGCAGTTCTGTGATTAGTGTGAACTGTCAGACTGAGACGTGATAGATGTTGGGATAGCCTCATGACTGTTAGATCTTTTGGCTTTTGAGATGCTTAGTTAGATGTTTTATTAAATGCCGATGTTTGAATGAATCATTGAATGGTTGATTATATGTATGATTAAATGGAATATTGAATGGTTGATTGATAGATGATTGATTGGACGACTGTGGGTCTGATTGATTTAATGGTTGAAGGGTTGCTTGATTGGATGATAAAAATCGTTGTTTGTTTGATTGGATGACTGCTTGATTGTATGATAAAACGTTTGATTGAATGATTTGGAATGGATATTTGAATGGTTTGTCGACTCGATCTACTGACGACTCGATATTGAATCGATCTATTGAGTAGTTGGTTGTGTGCACCTTGCATGTTAGTTGTAATTATATTGTGTGTTTCTAAGATGACTAGCATAGTTATTCGTTGGGTCACAAGTGATCTCATACAGTTGTATTTGGTTACGCTACCTTATGTATACCTGTTATTTTAGTCTTGCGTTGATTAAAAGAGGCCGTTCTACTTATATGGCACGAGAATGTGACTAATATTCGTTGGTGGGATCAGTGAATTCGGCGCTTTTGTGACGTTCAATTATTTGTACATTTCTGTGGCTTGTATAGTTATCTTTTGAACTGAAGAAGGAACGTTTCCGAAATATATTCATTGATTTTAGGCTAATTTTTGGATTGTTTAAAGATAGTGAGCATAAGGTTATTCTTCTACGATATTAATTTGCATGCTCTAAGGAAGCAAGTGCTTTGAGTTATTGAAAATTCTGCTGATGTCAAATCTGTACACTCAACTTCACCTGAATTGGGCTGAATGCTGAATCAAGTATAAAAACTGCATTTTTATAGTAAGCAAAACAAGAGCGCAGTATGTTCTTACCGCCGACCACAGCAGAACAAGCAATAATAACATTGTGAGAAACTAATCATAACATACCACCTCCGATTAAACATTATTCCGCTTGCGAGCGAAACATGTTACCAAATTTACAGGCGATAAAGTTTCCTCACTGCACCCCATAGCTGTTATGGCCTCCACCCCTGGTCGCCATCATAGGTGCCCCGGTGACCTCTGACCCCCTGAAATTTAGCGAAGTGATCTCGGTGAAAGCTAAATAATACGCCCCATGAGGTGCCTGGGTGACGTGTATCACACTAGCTGCCATCATTTCAGCATCGGGGTCATCTTCAGCACTTACCATAAAAGACGGCATTGTCTGCACTGGACGTTTGAAGAGTCTAGGGTAGATGGGTAGCAGGACGGCGGGCTCGGTACTCCTCCTGAGTAGCCCACTCGAGTCTGCAGCCTGTGGTATGACACAGCGCCCACGAGGCTCGGGCTCCTCCATAACAGCGCTCTAGTGACGCTGCATACTCAGGCCAGGCCTTGTCGGGGCTGAAACAGGATACGGGCATCTTTCATACGACCGTTGACATTCAGTACACAGAAGCATTTGGTAGCTTACGGCATCACATTCTAAATGCCCAATATAAAATGCCCCACACCAGCATATGCCCCACACCAGCACACATTTGAGGCAGATTACTTCCAGTACCGTTACACCAAACCGCAGAATGTTGCCAGACATTCATTCACAAACCAGGCCCATTATCATCACAATCCAGCTCCATCAATGCATTCCTCACTCCTCCCCCACAATAACCGTGAGAAAGAAGGCACTGATCCGTGTGCCGTTCACCGCCGTAAGACTACTGACCGCCTCAGGGTCGGTATGTGCAGCGTTTTACTACGGGACGATGAGCGGCCGTCAGTGGCGGATGGTGCTCACGCAGAACACGCCTGGATCGTGTGTCAGCACGCAGCGGCGCCGGTCAGAGGTCGTGACCCCGGGGGACGATCGCGGGCGGCCACCGCGCCGGCCCGGTTATGGGGGCGGTATATACCGGACACACCGAAGCGGCAGCTACGTTATGATGCATGGACAGTGATACCGACCCGCGGGTGGCGGTAGCAAACGGCTTTATAGCGCATCAAAGAGCAGGGCGGACAATAAAAAAGTCGCATACTGTCTGCGCCGCGCTGGATTATAAAACGGGATGGGATGCTTTCGCTGGGCAGAATATATCGAGATATCGAATGGAAATTGCGCAATGTTTCCTCTCATTTAGAATGGCGTGTTACTGCATTATTAAATGAGATAAATGGTGGAGAGTGGTGGCTGAAGAGGACATGCAGCCAGCAGCCTTCCTTTTATGAACAAGAGATCAGTACGGATTTCTGACAACATTGACAATTATATAAGCTACATGCTTGCACGCATGCATATGAGATTAAAAAATGATGCATCAACATCTAGTGGAAAATGTACATTACCGTTTGTCGATACAACTGGATTTCGGTTTCAGCGTAGCGGAATGCAGGTAGATCCACCTCCCTCAAAGCTGCTCAGCCAAGTAGCAGGTATGAATGCTCATTTCAGACACATCGACACCCATATACGTCTTCGCACCCCATAAAGGATCCCATCGGCTCTTGAGCAAGCGCCCTCCATCACTCTTGTCTCCATATACCGCCTCATCGGTGGGGTATATTACTCGACTCCACACCCCGGCGGGTTAGATCGGCAGCCCTCCCCGGCGCATTTCAAAGGCTGCGCGCGACCGCCAACGTATCACCAGTTGCAAAACAGGCTCTTGGCGCATACAGATCTTGCGTATCACTGCCCAATTAAAGGCTGCCCTTGGCCCTCTACCGACGAGCCGGTGTGATTAATTGTCGCCGAGCTTTGTTAAACAGATCAGCGGGCTGACTTCTAGGCTGTGCTGCCACCTCTCCAGGCCGGTCATATTTCACCGGCTGAACGGCCGCGGCTCATTATTCAGTGATGACATCCGTAATACGGGCTGGAGACGGCCGCTCTCGGCCGACGGGACGCTCGTACGGGTGCTCAGGAGCCGGCGGGGCGCGCAGGGGGTGCTCTTTGTCCGGATGTCACCACCACCGAGTTACAGCGCCAGAGGGCAGTTAAAATATAAACTTATGGACATTGGACCACATAATGGCGTTTATGTCTGTGGTCAGTTATCGTGTGCGATCTCAGCCCGGGGCGCTGCAGCGTTCCAGAGCGGTGTCGGTACGAGTACAGGGTGCTGGAGAGACGCGTGTTAGCATATATGTTCGAGCGTTGACGCTGCGTGAGGTTCTCTCTTTCTCTGTAGCCTCTTGCACCAAATGCTTACGAAGGTATAGATCACCATTTCCTTAGATTCTCTTGCAATCGACATCCACTCGAAAAACAATTCTGCCGTGACATTTTGCTTACAAATTCTACCGTGCAAGTATTGACCTCCGTTTCAGACGACAGACTCTCTTTTCCCGCATATTATCAGCTCCCATGCTCCGGTATAGATTCCCCCACCCATTACTATCTCCCATGTCCTGGTGTCGACTCTCCCCACCACCCAGGGTCGGTCGGCCGTCACAGTCGGAGCGATGAACCCCACCGGGACCCTGATGACTCCCACCGCCATCAATCCGCACTCCGAAATCATAAAGACTCCTTGGCCGCTGCCTGTGTAAGGGCCGAGCAATAACAATTTGATTCGGAGTGTCATAAACCGCAGAGACAGCGCCAGGAATGCGATCCTTCGCGCCCTTTACGGTCGAGAATCAGAGCAAAAACGACCTGAAATACGACTCTACAGCTGGGGGTCCATTACGGTCAAAACGCTTCATCTGGAGCTCTGAGTAACGGTAAACAGGGCATTGGAACCGGTCTATGGCTGTCTCTCCATTCTGCTATAACGCAGGAGGCAGCGGCCGTTCTCCCTAATACGGACCATCACCCAGCTCAGAAACAATAACCCGGATGCAGCCGGCTGCAGGGAGGAACCTGCAGGTGGTTACTATAGCAACAAGTACGCAGTCCAGATTATTTCAGCTCGGCTGCTTCATGGCGCAAGAGTTTGATATATCATCCGCGTGCCCATTATTTAAGCTCTTGCTCTTGGAATGGTACTCACTGGTCTGTTAACCAAGAACATTGAACAATGTAGGACACTCGACCGGAAACGTTTAACCGCCTAGGAACGAAAATCGCAGCGTTACTTATGCTAACATACCGGACCTACGCCATGACTGAACAATTGATCATGACAAATCAGAGCATTAGCCATACAGCATGCGGCTGGGTTTCGTGGTTGACTGCGTCCGAATAAAAAATCCGCCGGCGTCTGGCTGTTCACCAATCAAGATGTCACTGAAGTTACGTGGACACGATGTTGGCTTTCAATCTGAATAACCATGTAGTTTTTTAGACTTACTGGCGTCTGACGCAAGTGTCTGACGTTATAGTGAGTTTGTTGGACAAAATTTAGCTTACTCACCTTCTCGGCACGACGAATTCTTTCCTTTCTGCACACTGAAAGTCGTTACTAGCATTTGTGTGCCAAGTGGAAATAAGCCGTTTTCACGACAGTCATATATGACAAACATTTGGTTACATTTTGTGCAGTCTAGTCAAATTAGGTTCAAATAAGCAGTTTGCACGACGGGCTATCTGGCAAATGGACCAAACTGGACCAAAGCTATAACAAATCTATTTTATAACAAACATCATATCATGAATCTATTTCAGAGTTTTAATCGAAAATAAGGTCTGATAATTTGAAAAAGCAGCTATATAGGCAACTGTGCAGCCCAAGCTGTTAACTTCTAAGAAAAACAATGAACCTAATTTGACCAAATCTGCACCAAATCTTCATCTAATCTACACCAAATGTGTATCAGATGGCTGTCGTGAAAACGGCTTTTAGCCATTTTCACGAAATAGCCGTCGAGAAAACGGCTATGGTAGCCCTTTTCATGGTGGAACATTTGGCATCTACCTGATTTGTTTGATCCGTTTGGTACCTAATAAATTTTAGTAGCGGTTTGTTTACAAGAAGGGTTCTACCTTTCGAATATAATATCGATTGCCCTGCTTCTTTGCTTTCAAATTCAGTCAAATAGGACCAATGTTCCGTCGTGAAAAGCGCTAGTGCCTAGTAGTGTTTCATAGTACTATGAAACACTTCTAGGCAAACTACTAGTAGTGCTATATAACTACTATAAAACCTACTTAGGTTTTAGCTTTGGTATTAATTGTTGCTATAACACCTGATTCATTTACCTAAGTATCAGACGTCATCTCCGATCAAAGCATTGAAATAAGTTCACATTATAAAAATAGTTAGTTGCTGCAAAAGAGGTTTGGTTAGCTTTGTCAAGTTTGATTCATTCGTGTAAAAACGGTTATTTAAACCAACAGTGAAACATATGACGTATTTAATTTTTCATGATAAATGCATCATCAATCTTGTCATAAGAAACTGAGCACTTGGACAGTCACATCGCATTTTCTAGCTGTGACAAGTGGCATAACGTTTCGTTCCTAATCAGTGAGAAAGAAGAGGTCGCGACCTCGAGTCCACCCCCGCCCCCGCCCTTGCCTCTCGCGTCGGCGGCGTGGAATCATCCCTACTCCCGGCCAGTAATTTATAAGGCGCTTTAATTGCTCTCTCTGGCTGCCTTATTGACCATTGTATGCAAAACTGACTCTGTCTGCTCGGCCGTGTGTATGTGTGACTGCCCCCCAGAATCGGAGCGTCATGCACCGAGCATCAGAGCCGCCGCTGGTCTGCCTTTGATCTCCAGAGAGCGAGCGGCCCGCCGAGACGGCGCCGGGCCCATACTAAAGACAAAACACGTGCTCTTGTTAAGGTGCCATGTATATCCGGATTATAAATAAGCAGCAATGGACCAATGCTAATTGGTCGCTGTTAACTACGTGCATATGAGCCGGCGCGCTGAATATAAGGGGCAGTCAGCGTGATGTTACATGTAAATATTAATGGAAACGAATGTAAAAGAGAGTTGTTAAATTCACAATGGCGCAACAACCATTGATTCTTGATTACTCACGGAGAAGCTTCCAAACTAGTTTACAAGAGCATGAGCAATTAAGAACTGCAAATCGATGATCATTATTCAATCAAATTATCGGAGGGGTAGTCAACAGCGCATAAACGATATTTGCAGTGTTTCGTGACGCGACCACAAAGTGAAACGCAAGTTGCAGACATTCTCGCTTTGCAAGGAGTACCCAAGTAATGGGTTGTTTCAAGCGTTCCGCCCATTTATTCACATGGTCTGAATTTTTATTCTGAGCCAACAAAGTAACTTTGAGTAAGCATTCTAATTCATTTACATGTTCAATTATCCACAAAACGATAAAAAATGCAACATTATAAAAATATTAGTGGTAATTATTCAACCTTGCCCTGAATCTGTAACTATCTTATAGGCAAAGTGCGGGCGCCAGGTGCACAACTGCTAATCATTTTGGAATCGAGTTGCTGATGCAACTCATGAGCATCGTTTCATCTTCTCTGGTT